CAAGCACCGGGGCATACTACCTCGAGCAGCTAGACGGAGAACCATTACCACGACCCTGGAACGCTGCTAAACTAAAGCAGTACTATAGCTAAAAACCCTTAAACACTAAGGACTCTCGCCGTCGAACATCCACATCTAGTCAACAAAGAGAAATATCTCGACCACGAAGATATGCCAAGGTACGGGCCCAACCTACGCCCAAACGACATAACGCCGTTCAGACAAACGAGGATGAACGACGATGCCCGACAGGTACACCTCAATCGAACTCCACTGTCGAAGTACCCACATGGCAGAACACCCAGATCGCGATGGGCAGTTCACGCCACGGGCATGCGACCTCGATCTGGGTCATATGCCCGATAGGCGGGCTTCACTCCGCACGACCGACACATTTCGAAGTACGTCGGACCACCAAATGGGTCGAAAGGATCTCCACTCGAGGACATAACTTAGGAAAATTTCACCATAAAGTAACAGCCGATTACAAGCGTGGCTCGAGGACATAACTTAGACAAATTTCGTCACAATATAAAACTTAGACACAAGCAAGTTTAAAGTTAAAATGAACATCCATTTAAAAGCTCATACACAAAACAAATAAAAATGAACCGACCAAAGAGGCCGGCGATGTTCGGAGTTACAAGCTATGGCACGACGTCTAAAAGAAATATGTATGGGCACGCAGGCCCCAAAAATAAGCACGAGCACGCAGGCCCCAAAACAAATACCAATAAACAGGCACGCAGGCCCAACAAGAAACTCCACGCTAAACATTCCCGGGACTACCGGAATCCACCACATGAGACTCAGGAGGAGGCACGACCTGGCCGTCAATAATCTGAGACATGAAACCCACTCCCTCAGTATTCATGCCCGGATTCAATATGGTGAGCTGGCTGACCGCGGCCTCAAACCCGTCTGCTAAAGCACTGACACAGTCCGTTTCGAGGAGATGGATGTGCGCGACCAGACCCGAACGGGTCCGCAAAGGGGTTGTCTCCTCCGACTCATCTTCAGCAGGAAGCATAACAGCTTTTAGCTCCTCGAATTCCTTAGATAAACGTTCGTTGTCAGCCTCCAAGCGTTCCTTATCCAGTCGAAGGCAATCCCTCTCCTCAACAACCTTCCCGGAGTTTTCCTTCTCCCCCACCAGCAGGTCGGCTTGTTCGCGGATTATTTCCTCGGATCGCTCGAGGGCTGCCTTTAACTTACGCGAGCTGGAGGCGAGGGCAGCCTTCTCCGACTCCAACTCCCTGACGCGATCCGAGGAGTCCGACCCTTCCTCGGCAAGGACAACGGCCATCTCGGCCATCTTCACCATCCCGACCATACTGGCGACCAGGTGTTTTCTCCGGCTTTCTTTGTTGAGCCGCTTGATAGTCTCGGCCTCGCCGTTGCTCACCGTCAGGGGAAACCCCTCAAAGAAATCTTTCTCTTTGAAACAGGGGGGTAAGCCGAAGGCCCTCGCAGCTACAGACTCTTCGCCAACCTCCGACCTATTATCTGCCCGGCTTCTCTTTCTCGTAATTAGCTCAGTGGGCTGCTCAGCATCAGGGGAGCCCGGGGACCCACTAGAGGCATCGCCCGAACTGGTCGACGGGCCCATCCTTGGGGCTTGCGGAGCTCGCACTAGCCTTTTGTTTACTCTCTTATCCTGAGTCAGTTTCAAAAGCCTCTCCCTTCGTTCAGCCATGTCGCCTGCAAAGAAGAGCAAAACTCGGGTTAGTTGCGAGTAAGCGAAAAACAATGAAAATGGAATAAAACAACAAAACAAAAGCAAGAAACCTAGTACATCTACGACCTGCCCGTAAGATTGGCACTCGACGAGTGCTTTGGTGTCGATGGGACGGGCCTCGAATGTCGGGTACCCATCCTCGTCAAGAATATCTTCCCCCTCCCTCGTGACCCACCGGGCAGGGAAGAAGCTATCGACATACTTGTAAAGGATACCATAGGCTTCTTCATCCTCGGCGCCCATGCTTCCCGCAGGCGTATGATAGTACCCGGTACCATGGTCGTAATGGCCCGAGCACCAATGTAACGGGAACTTGGATACGCGCCCCATTGCCGGACGACCCTTGGCATCCATGAGGGGCTCCCCGTCCTCGTCGACTACCACGGTTTCCTCTTCATACATAGAATCCAAGGCAGTCTAGGTGACCGACTGTAGAATGTACCACTTGTCCTTGAAGCCCCAGACCGAATCCATATACATCCTGAACAGCCTCTTCGACTGTTTCAGGGAAACCCAACTATGCCTGCCTCCTCGAGACTGACGCTGCAGGTGAAAAACCCTGAAGAAAAGGGGAATGGTCGCCCCAATCCTCAAGAAGCGGCATGTCAGCTCGAACGCCCGAAGGAAGGCGATCGAATTAGGATGAAGCTGCGAAGGGGCCAAGTTCAGATGGCAGAACACCCCGGCTTGAAAATCACTGAAAGGGAGCTTAAGACCGAGATCCCTAAACACGATCTCGTACATTGGAAACCCATACTCGGTGAACTCCAAGCAGATTCGTGCATCGATGGACGGCCTCTTCACAATAAAATTCTTCTGGAAACCCGGCTGACTACCGCCGTGTTCGACGACAGTATATGCGCGCCGACTACGCCGACAATACACCGAGGCAATCCCTCGGGGCTCGGCGCCCACCCAATCTAATGAGGGGTCATCGACGATATCAACTAAAGTCACGTTCTCTTCGGTACTTTGGTCCTCGACTTCATTTTTCCTCGAAGATTCCGGTTCGTCAGCCATTTACCTCCAAAGCACAGGAAACCGGTGAAATTCGAGAGCAAATCCGTATGCTCGCCACAGTGACGGGAAGTAGTGCGCGACAAGCCAAACACGGACACCCCAGCTCGACCAGGCGTCGGGAACAACAAGAGAATAGCATGAACACCCCGAGCGATAAACATGGATGACTCGAACAAGGTCCTGACTTCGCCTGCCCGACACTAAGATGCTACGATGAGTTGTCCTACATACTTTCTAAGGGGTCAACATCCCGGCCAGCTCATGGGTGCACCGACCAAAACTATGAATGTGACGGGTAATATCGTAGATCATATGCCTAGAACTACGAATGTCACAGGCAGTATCATAGATTATGCGCCTAAAACCATGAAGGTCACGGGCAGCATTGTGAGTCACGTACCTAAAACTATGGATTTACCGGGCACAATCATGAATCTATCGGGCACTACTCCCAGATACGGGTTTCTAACATCCAAATAACACCAAAACTACCTACGACAGAGAAAAACAGGAGGAATGAACACTTACTTGGAAGAAAAGAAGAATGTACGGAAGCGATGAGAGTAGTCAACGAAGGATGGTGCGGTAATCTCACGGTGTTGCAGAAAACAAACGGTAGCGGAAGCAGAGGAAGAAGGAGAAGCGCGAAGAAGAAAAACAAATTATGGGACCCAAGGATCCTATTTATAGGGATGACGTGGAATACGAAACGTCGCCTCGGGGAGCCACGAACTTCCCCTCCTCGACATCTACTCCCCTAGGCAATGATGACCCTATTGTCGCTAGGGCGGTGTCACGGTTCCCAAGGATTGCCTCGTGTATCTAACAAACACAGCCCGCGAGGAATTCCCCGAGCACACGTCGACGAGGATTACGCTACGAACGCAACCCGTGAGAAACTCCTCGAGCGCGCATCAGGAAGCAATATCCTGGTCCGGGCATCAGATCCTCGTGGTAAAGGCGAGCTGAAGTCAAGTCATAACTCCTGCTCCAGGAGCAACGAATTAGGGGGCTCCTGTTCTGGACTGGGTCCACCCTGACCCAAAGTGCAGATAAAGGCCCAATCCAAGCAAACTCCTCGAGGAATGCGCACCCGCGGATCACCGTCGACGTGCCCGACTACAGACTGTAGCCATGCCCGCCATTGCCCGCGACACATGGTGTCCCCGTCCAAAGGAACTCCAGCTTGAGTCCTGCTCGAGCACTCTCCCCGTAGGGCAGAACCTGTCCTCTCTGACCGTTATCGAATCATCTAAACTCCGGAAAGACCGCGTCTTCGTCCCTCCTCATTCTTCGCAGAGCATCACCAGGAAGGGGACCACGTGCGGAGCCTCACTACACACGTAGAATCTGACAGTTCCTTTATTGGGCCAGTTCTGGTCGGCCCAATAAGGGGACCTTGGCCCAGCGCTGGGGGCTATAAATACCCTCTGTTCCTAGAGGGTCAGGTATTCATCTCTTACGCATCTATACACTTTTTGCTTGCTCATTCCGTCACTCATTTTAGCATCGGAGTGTCTTGCAGGTACTCCCCATCTCACTCAAATTCTGCCCGAGCCAGTCGTGACGGTCCAAGTCTGATCATGTACGATCAGGAAGTATTGGTTATATTTGGTCAATGGTATCGTGTAAAGAATAATCTAGACCCAAGTCCATAAATCAATTAGAACTAAAAATGATGAGTCACTATTATTTAGAAGAATTTAGATAGTGATTAATAAGTTGATTTCAATGTTATAAATAGATGCTGGGTGAATATAATTGAAATGAAAATAAATGAAAAAATTATTTTAGAATAGTTTAACTTTTTTAGTGCAATTTCTCTTTATTTCTCTCAACACTAAAAGCATGTTCATAACATATCTAGATAGAAGTATCTCTAATAAAAACAAAAAAAAAAAAATAGTTTTTTTTACAAAAGGATAAAATTGAACTTTCCACAACATATTTCTTTCTTATATAGTAGATTATTTCTATTGTATAATATTAATGCTAAAATAAGAGAAATAATTTTAATAAATCGGAAGTGGAAGTGAGTACTCTCAATTCCTCAAAAGAACAAAGAGTGTAATCTTATGTTTATTACATTAAGAAAAGAAAGCAAAATCTTACATTGGTGTAAAACAACACAAGAAAAAACCACAAGATGTCGAACAAAAACCACGAGAAGCTTACCACATTTATTATGACACATGACTTTTATGTGTGGTGGGCATGAACATATATCGATACTCTGTAACCATTACTCGTAATGTAGTATGTCATGAAGAGCAGGCCAATCATCTTTGATTCTCTTTATTCTACCACCAACAATGAAGTCACCATCTAATGTGTCTGGCCCAAAATTGATACGTGCATAATATTCTCCTCTGAAAATGTAAGCTTCATGCTTAACATGAGAAGAAAAGGCTGCATCAATTCCAGATTCAAACACTGTACCAAGCAAACTACCAAAACCTTTGCGTATGGTTCGATAAACTATGATCGCATAATCAGGGTGAACATAGTCTATGCGGGTATATCTATGTCCTTTAAATAAGTAAACATTTTTCCTCGTAGATAGAAATGCAGCATCTATTCCATCTTTATGCACTGTATGATCGAGACAAGGAAATGCTTCAATGATTGAAGTTGGACCACTAAGTAATTCGGATTTGGTTGAATCAGGAGCATAATCTATCTTTTCACATTGTTTTTCAAAGAAGAAGAATGCCTCATTGTGATGAGTGTTAAAAGCACAATCTATTACATTTTCCGCAGACATTTTAGCAACCATTGGGAAGCCGTCGGAAATAAGACATGGCCCTTTGATGATATCTTTTTTCTTCTCTCCAGGAGCATAATTCAAAACTACATACTTGTCTTTCACAAACAAGTAACATTCATTAACCTTAGATGAACGAAATGCAGCATCTATGTTATGATATGGCATTTTATTTGTTTAGAAAGAGATATGAAATGTTTATGCTTTGGTTAATTGGAAAATGCCTCCCTTTATATAGATGTTGCCGTCTTACCGTTTATAATTATACCTAAAACACGTTTGAACACGTTTGCATGTGATAGTCATAATCTCGTATTGCAGTCATGGAGCAATAGTGTTACTTTTTATAATTGATGCCCAAAACACGTTTGGACACGTTTGCTGGATAATGCAAGAGAAACATCGTGGTGAGTGCAACGAACAATGACGGGTATTTAGAAAGTCGCAGCATAATTATTGGTATAGTTCAACTTACTCAGTATATTAATCAATAACCTAAGATATTTAGAAAGTCAACGTCTTGGAGTTTGACTTTATGTTATACTTTACATCTTTTTGTTTTTGTTTACAGAAAGGGTCGTCCAAAACTTTTTTGGAAAATAAGATCATAATTATCGGCTGACAAAGTGCCGTTGCTACACAGTTTTTGATAAATTTGTTTTTAATATTTGGATAATTGAGAAAAAGTAGCGTTCCTACATTCATGCATGTTGTCTTATTTAACCACGCTCTCTAACTGATTTTTTTGCCAAGTGTAAAAAAATAATGGTTATATCATTAATGGAAATTGGGTTGGTGGGATCCATTTTAAATTTTTTGATGGGTTGTATGGATATTTAAAAAATGTAGTTGGGTTGTTTAGAAAATGTGAAAGTGTGATATAATATAAAAAATTAAGTGGGTCCCATTTAAAGAACTCATGAAGAGATGATGGATGTGGATGCTCTAAGAAGTTTAAGTTGAGCTTCTTAGAGTAATTAAGGAGAAGATATTTGAGAGAACTCGCGTGAGACACTTTTAATGAGAAGAGAAAGAAAGAATAATAAAAGAAATAAGAATTTATATTATTGAATTGTTACAAATAATGATACATATAACCTTAATTGAATTTGGGTCTACACAACTTAGATTATATTTAAATATTAAATTTAATCTAATCTAATATTTTAACAAATCTAATTTAATATTTCAACACACCCCCATAATCCAAGTTGTCGAACATCCTCAAAAATAGTCAATCTGAACTATTCTTAATTTCTTTCTCAAATTCAAGAATTTGTCAATCTTCAATTTTTTGGTGAAAATGTCGGCCAACTGTGCTTCACTCGAACAATGTCTTACTTCAAGTTCACCTTGATTTACCTTTTTCCTCAAGAAGTTAAACCTTGCTTCAATATGTTTACTTCTTCCATGCAGAACTAAATTCTTCGCCAGATTTATGGATGCCATGTTGTCGATTTGCAATACAAGAGGTTTCTTCACTCCGACCTTCATTTCTTCAAGTACAGACCTGATCCAAATTGCTTGACATGCAGCATAGGATCCTAATATATGTTCAGCTTCACAAGATGATAATGCCACCACGGGTTGTTTCTTTGAACACCATGAGATTGGGGCACCAAATACTTGAAAGAAATATCCAGTTGTGCTTCTCTGATCTTCCTTATCTCCACACTAATCAGCGTCTGAGAAACAATTAACTATTGCTTCTTTGTCTTTATAATCTCGTCGAAATAATATTCCATAGTTTATCGAACCCTTCAAACATCTCAAGATTATTCTTGCAGCCTTCATATGTGACATTCTTGATTCACTCATATATCTGCTTACTAATCCTACAGCAAAACCTATATCAGGCCGACTGTTGCACACAACCTCAGAGATCCCATAATTTGCTTGAACAAAGTTACATCAACTTTGTCTTCCTCTACATTCTTCTCCAATTTTACATTTGGTTCGACAGGTGAGGATGCAGGATTCAAATCATCCATTCTGAATCTCTTGAGTATTTCTTTGACATACTTCCTTTGATGTAGCACCATACCTTGCTTCGACATTTGAAATTCCATACCTAAGAAATAAGACAATTTTCCCAAATCTGACATTTCAAATTCCTTGATCATCAGCTCTTTGAACTTCGACAAGTTCTGCAAGTTATTTCCAGTCACTAGCAAGTCATCGACATATAAGCAGATGATTGTTATATATTGTGCTACAACCTGAACATAGACATCATACTTAGATTCGCATTTGACAAATTCCAATTCGACTAAGTATTAGTCGATCTTCTTGTTCCACGCCCTAGGTGCCTGCTTGAAGCCATAAAGCGCTTTGTGCAACTTATATACTTTACTCGCTTCCTTCTGAATCAAAAACTGTGGAGGTTATGTGACATAGACCTCTTCGTCTAAAGGACCATTCAGAAATGCTGATTTCACATCTAAATGAAATGTCGAGCAGCCTTGGTTGCATGACAATGCTACCACTAGTCGAACAGTCTCTAATCTTGCTACTGGAGAAAATGCTTCAGATTAATCAAATCCTTCTCTTTGAAGAAACCCTCGAGCTACTAATCTTGCTTTATGTCTTTCTATTGAGCGATAAACATTATGTTTCAACTTTAATACCCACAGTTGTACCCCAAAATTTTCCCTCTCATATTATCAAGATTTTCTTCATAAGACTTCTTGGACTCAAGACAGGATTAGGGTTTGCTCAGCTCAAGACATCTCCTTGCACTGTTGACCTGAAATTAGGGTTTGAGTTTGCATAAGGATCTTTGGACCATCAATGCTTCATATGACTTTCATACACCATCTTGGACCCCTAAGATTGCCCATATCAAGTTTCAAGCCTTGAATTTTTGTCTAGTCAATTGGACAGTTGACCTAAAAATCAACTGTATTGGGGAAAAAGTCAACCATGGCCAATTTATAGTCAAACTTCTTAATTTTTGACCCACAAAAACATTCTAGGCTCCTATGTACCATTTTATCAAGTTTGGACCACAACTCCTCTAGAAATTTGATCAGATCATCAAAAGGGCAAAATGGTCAAAATTAGGGTTTTGACTGAGAAAGGGAAATTTCTGATTTTTGACCTAGCCAATGACCAATTGGGTTCAAGAATGATTTCAAGGACTCAATGGAATCATCTTGACCTAATCACATGGTTCAAAAGATCTCAAATGCATAGGATTGACAGATGAATTTTGCAGTCAACTGATCAAAAGTCAACTGTACATTGAAAAGTCAAACTTTGACTTTTTGGTCAAAATCAAGTGCCAAGGATCATAATTCATCAAGATATGTCAAAATGTGAAACTTGTTAACCAAGAAACCTAATTTTGAAAATTAGGGTTTTAATTTGAAATTTTTCATAACTTAGAATTTTTCTAAGTTACAGAAATTTCTTATTTTTTTCCAACTTTCCACAACTTTTTCACCATGATGAAATTGGATTAAAAGAAAGCTTCCAACATTAAAGTTATAGTCCTCCATTAAATCTACAATAAAATTTATTTATTTATTTGTACAATAAAATTCAATTGGGTTGTAATAGTGAATTAGGGTTTTATTTTAAGCAATATCCCCATTCAAAACTTGTATCCCCCTTCCCATAATATTGTTGTAATAGTTTAGATTTACTTTACGCAATTTATCGCATTATATACATGTTTAGTAAATTAGGGTTTGTATGATAAGACAAAAAATCAAACAAATAGCATGACCTAATGCAAGACAAAAATGCATGAAAAATGACAACACATTGCACACAAATACCCCTAGGGTTTCATCCACTTGGTTGCCTTAAAACAAAATGGCCATGGTATGCATGCTAGGTATCTTGGTAAAACAATACAAAACAAAAGATCATAGTCCCTCGATGACGCTATCTTGGCTGCCTAAACAAAAAATGATCTTAGTCCCTCAAAACTTGCTAAAGATACTTGGAAATATTGTTATCATGGTCATACGATGACCCGCGCCCGTCCCGTTTAACATCCAAAGATAGGGTTGATTACCAAATGCAATGGTAAATCAACAATATCAAAGGAATAAAAATGTGTAGGAAAGACTTTGGAGTAGGTAGATAGTTTCTAGTTACTTGATCAAATTTGCAAAACAATCCTTGCTATTTTCAAATAAACACACACATTTCAAAACATTTCCAAACAACTTTCAAAAAACATTAAAACATTTTTCAAAAGACAAACATCTTTGTATACATTCTTACAAACAAGAATCATTACAAAGAATGCCTAAACAAATGCCTCTTTTCAAAATACTTTCAAAACCACACAAAGCACCATTTCAAACAATTGAAAAAGCAAAGCAAGTGATCTAAAACAAGTAACTAAGAGCCCATGGAAAACCATGGATGAAAAGGGTGCTAGCACCTTCCCTTTTCATAATCTACCCCCCGAACCCAAAAACAATCACAAAGGTATTTCCTGTGCTTTTTTACCTTTCCTTTTGGATAAAATAAAAATCGATGGCGACTCTTGCTAAACCTAGACATTTGCGAACACAAACGCAAAACCTCAAGTCAGTTCTCCCACCATATCACACCCACTTTACTTTGATAGCTTTTGTATATGCTGGAAATTCGACTAACTCCCATGTGTTGTTTCTTTCTATTTTCTGTAACTCTTCGACCATAGATAACTTCCACTGCTTGGTTTTTAAAGCTTCGTTATAAACTAATTCTCCACCTGGTGTGACTTCATCATCACCCACCACTTCATAATCATGAAGTCTTATTGGAAGAACTCTATTTCTTTGAGGTCTTTGACTTGTTTCAGCCACAACCTCTTCGACTTCGAATGTGTCGGGAATGTCAGCAACTTCTTTCTTCTTCGACTTTGACTGTGTCGGAAATGTCAACAACTACTTCTTCTTCGACTTCGTTTGTGCCGGGAATGTCAGCAACTACTTCTTTTTCGGCTTCGACTGGATTCTCAATAATTCCTTCGACCTCTACTTCATCAGTTTCTTCATCGACAATAGTTTTCAAACATTGAACTTCTGTCGAACTGATCATAGTCTTAAATGTCATGTTCTTCGACAATGAAGATTTTAAGACCAAATTGTTCTTGGTGTCGAACAATTTCAAAACTCCATCTTTCATGACAACTGAGACACCTTTTTCAACTAGTTGTCCAACGC